TTCCTTACCCTTTTCCTCATCTTTGGGATCTTTAGGAAATTCAGGCTCTTTGTAAGCTAATCCACTCCTAAGTGTGATAGCTTTCACATGATCGGAGGGATCTGCTTCACTTGAGCTTTCGGAAGAATTTTCACTTAGCTCTTCTTCAGAATTTTCTAAGTTTTTAGAATTAGTTTTGACCATCAGGCTAAGGAGGGTATCGAAATCCTTCTGCATCTCTTTTAGTTCAGATCTAAGATCACTAATCTCTTGAGACATAGATTTTTCAAGCTCTAATTTCTTTTTGTTTAGGTTTTCAGCTTCAGAAGAGGGGAAAACTTGGATAGGAAACAGGATTAGATTGAATACCCAAGATTGGTTCGGAAGGTGGTTTCCAACCAAGTTCGGAAGGCAATTTCCCGCGGTCAGAGGGCTCGCGACCGCGGTGAAACATGTCTTGGCCGCGGTCAGAACAGCTACGACCGCGGTGAAACCTTGCTTGGCTGCGGTCCGGATGAATAGACCCGCAGTGATCAGAAACGAATGGAAAATCTTGAATTTGATAGACTTCTGCAGTGTTAACCATCCCTTGACCATAAGAATCCATTGGGTTGTCCCAGCCATCAAAGTTACACGTATTGTGTACCCTATTTGGTTGTTGCAGTCCAAGATGACTCATTATGTGACGGAGACACTTTATAACTTCCGGAATTTCTTCTTTCTTCTCAGGAAGTACAGAATTACCAAAGGTTACTTGATTTCGGATGCTGTTTCCTAAATTTTTAATGAAAACGTGAGCATCTTCTACAGATCTAGTTGTTAAATCTCCATTACTTGCTATATCAAAAAAGTGTCGCAACTCTGGAGTTATACTGCGATAGAAGATACCTAGCAGGTATTCCTCGGCATATCCATGGTGTGGACAATCTCTTTGGTATTCCCAAAACCTTTCCCAAGTATCTAAAAGATCTTCATCTTCTTTTTGTTTAAAAGTTCTTATCTTCTTTCTTAAGAGATTTGAACGATTTCTAGTGTAAAAACGATTTAGGAAAGCAGTTCTACACGCTGCCCACGTTTTTAGTGAAGCAGGTGGCAAAGATTTTAGCCATTTGCTGGCCTTATCTCTAAGAGAGAATGGGAAAAGACTACACTTGTGGTAATCCCCATTTGCTGTAATGGTTGCACATAATTCTTCGAAAGTCTCGATATGGTCTATTGGATTTTCGAATGAATAACCAGAGAATTGATTTTGTTGAACTAAATGGATATGGGGTACCTTAATTTCGGTTTTGCCATCCTCTGGTAAGGCTGGTTGAATAGCTCTTCGATCTCCCATGAACTTTTCGAGTGAATCGAAACTTCCAATCAGTTCATCATCATCTTTGTGTTTGACCGATCCGATTAGCTCATTGTCATCATAAATTGGTTCTTCAAACTCATCATCAGTCAGGTCTTCGTCGTCGATTGGATCACCATCCACACGATTTGGTGGATCACCAAGAGTTCCGGGAACATGTTTCCGGTCTCCCATCTCAGAGAAACCTAAAAAATTCAAAAGAAAAAGTAAAAATAAACAAGTTTTCTAATGGATTTAAGCTGGGATTCGCAACGAAACAAATCAAAGTCCCTGGCAACGGTGCCAAAAACTTGATTGCGAGCAAAAGCGGGGTTGGTTGTTTTCGTTTTACTAAGCTTCAGGTTTTAAATTTATAACCCCTAAATGTCTGCAAGTGCACAGATGTGCGCTGTAGTACTTAGGGTATCGATCCACAGAGACTTAGTTGTTTCAGTACGAATTCACTGCAACGCTTAAATCAGATTAGAACTAAAAAGGTTTTGGTTTTGGTTTTGGGTTTTGGTTGTCACTAAAACTAAACTAGAAAGCAAAGAAAACAAAAGCAATTGAAGGCAATTAAAACAAGTAAAAAAAGCGATTAAACTAAGGCTAATGAAAGTAGGTAATAAGCGAATAAATCAAAGACAAATTGAAAGCAGAAAAAATCGAATAAGAAGCAAAGGTTGTAAGCAATTAAAGACAAACGTTGGGGCTCAAGGGGTTTCGCAGGGGTTCATGGACTGAGCTATGTCGATTTTAAACAAGTGATAAAGGTAATCAACTATGTATGCTCTAGAACTCGAGGCACGGAAGTATGAATAACCTACTTTCGCAGCACTAAACAACTATCTCTCGCAACCCTAATCAGTAGGTTTGCACTCTGATTCTGGAAGGGAGAAGATGCAATAGCAGAACAAGACTCATCAATATTCACAACTCAACTACAGGTAGGTTTCCACTCCTATAGAAGAATTGCTCGTTTCACCCTAGTTCAGACAATCAATGAAAGCTTTCGCAACATATCATATCAGATCGGCTTCTAAGTGGCCAGCAAAGAATCACGCAGTAAGATTAAAGGCAAACGAAGAACGTCTGGAAGATTAATAATCCTAGATCTATCGATTCATAAGCAAAGACACATGAAATTCCCTTTGAACAATCCTTTTAAACCCAACTGGGTAACTACTCAAACATATTGTAAACAATCATCACAGAGTATTGAAAGTGCACGAAATTAAAGAGAATAAGGAAGAAAAACGAAGAACGGAGAAGCCGATGGAGGCGCGATCGCTTTCTCCAGCGGCGGCTCCTTCTTCCGAGACGGCGGCGGCTCTCTAGAGTTGATCCCATGAAAATCTCTCTCTCTAAGTTGGCTAATTTTCGGTTCTTTCTCTTTAGAATGACCTAAAGGGGGTATTTATAGCTTCTGGGGTGGTTCTGGACACTTAGGGCTTCAAAAATAACGAGAGGAATTGATCTTTAATTAAGTCGTCGGAAAAGTGAACGACCAAAGTCCGCGGTCGCGGTGGCTCTACCCGCGGGAAAATGGGTGTTGGCCGCGGTCCCGGCACTTGCTCTCTTCCGGAACTGCATTTTCTGTCATTCTTGCATCGGGATTATCTGAAGATCTAACCGTTGGATTGTCTCCACACCAAGTGTATTAGAAAGCTGGTTGGATCCTCTATGTTGTCTTAAATTTTGGGGGTGATCAGACAGTGAAAAGGTCTTCATCGCTTATCATACTTCTGACGGTCTGCATTTATCTAAAATTGCTCATTTGTTCAAAATTGCATATCTTTAGCCCAATTTTCCTGTAAAGTCTCTTGAAACTCTAAAACATTGAAACACTTTAAAAACCATTGAAAACAGAGTTAAAACACCTGCAAAAGATACAATTATAATCCATAAAAGTGGTCAAAATACGGTGTTATCAAAGGCACGGTCCGAGCCGTAGAGGCAAATGTTGCCGAGGCGACCGAGAAAGAAGTAGCGCCCGAGGTGGAACCGGGCGAAATTATTCCGAGGCGTCCAAAGATGACTCTGCGGCGTGGAGTAAAACTCCTTCCAACTCGGCTATTCTGGCTCTTCCTAAGTCATTGAGACCCCCGACTTCGCTTTTGCAGAAGCATGATTCTGGCCAAAAACGTTTGGCCGCTGATAAGGGGAAGGGCGTAGCTATCCAAAAGGACGAGCCGGCCAAGAAGAAACGCAAGCAGGCGCCCGGTGATCCCGCTTCACGCAAACTGGTCGTCGACGACCCTGACGCCTCGACAATGATGTTTGCACGTGTTAACAATGCGAACACGCGTCTTCCTCCTCCTGAGAAGCTGAGGAGACCGAGGTCGTATGGCGCGATGGCACAGCGCGGTACCAAGGTATGTTCTGTTTACTCTCCTTATTTTATCAAATTCTTACTAAGTGTTTAACGCATACTATTCTTTGCAGTTTGTAGCGGCCATCAACGAGCTGATGGCTGAATACGAGGCGGATCTGTCCAAGGTCAAACGTCGCCTGGACGAGGCTCGTAACGAGGCCGCGGCAGCGAAGGGGAAGCTGGACGAGGCTCGGAATGAGACCGCGGCGACAAAGGGGAAGCTGAACGAGGCGATGACCATGGTGTCGAGGCTAGAAGAGGAGAAGATAGTTTTTCGTGCCGTTGTCGACAAGGTTTCCGCCTCGGTCATTTGCCTCGAGGAAGCTAGGAGAGCTAAAAGCGCCGAGGTGGTGTTGCTCAAAAGGCGTATCGAGGCCAAGGATGCCTTGTTTAACGCCAAGGTCAAGCATGCGAAGAAAGAAGCGAGGCGAGAGCTGACGGCTAAGTTTCAGGAACGCCTTGCCAAGGTGGAGGAAGGTTTTTCCAAGCTCGAGAAGGCCAAAACCGATGAGAACGAGCTGGGACAAATCAAGGGCAACCTTGCGATGATCGCCGATCTGAGGAAACCAGACGGCCCAATGCTCGACGAGGAGGAGGCGAATCTAAAGAGCTGGGAGAGCGAGTACGCCGACGACGAGGCGTATGAGCGCATTGCCTCCGAGATCCGAGGTGAGCTGGTCTTCTCACCCGTGTCGCCAGACTCTGTAGACACCAGCCTTGGTAACGAGCCGCTCGAAGAGACAGCGGCCAACTTGGGTGTCGTAGACCCGATCGGATTGAATGCGGGTACGCCAGCCATCTCGAACCTCCTTGCCGAGCGTGAAATGCAGTCCGCGGCTTGATTCTCTCCTCTTTCCCTTATCTTCTGTCTTATATGTTTTTGTACTTAAAGTTTGGATGACTTTATCCGTTTCTCGAACTTTTTATGTAACTGATGCCTGGACGGCTTTATCCACCTGACTTATTGATTTAGCTATGGTTATAATCATCTTTTCCTTAGTCGTTTTTTGTTGGATTTGATGCGTTTGTCTTTGATGAATTTTTGATGAAAACTGTTTGTTTGGAACGAGTTATCGTTGTCGAGCTGTGTTGGGAATGCTTTTGATTGCTTCCCTAGCCGAACTGTTTACGAAAAATGGGCTAAGGGATAAGCTGTTAAAGGTTCTGTTTAAGTCTAAATCCGAGCTAGGAGTTGATTCGTGGAGCGTCTTCGTTTTAGGTAGCTCTTAAAAGAAACTAAAGTTTCTTTGTGCCTTCCACCGTTAGTGCCGAGGCGTTTGAGTTAGGAAAGAGAAAAAAGTGCGAGGCAATTCAGATCGGATTTGGTCTTTGGCCGTTTGAAGCGCTAAGTTTGGATCTCTTGTTGCCGAGGTCTACGTCCTGAGACGATATCAAAGTTTGATTATAGACCGGCGTTCCCGAGAGGGTGAACGTGTTTAGCCGGGTTTTAAGAGTTCATTTCGGTTTTAGAGAAAGCGATGTAGTCCCGACTTATAATCTCGTGCGCAATGACGAACTGTGGTGATCAATACGTTTTTGGTCTTAAATTTATATAGCGCGCTTTATTTTAATCCATAGAGGATGTAACTTGCACCCTCGTCCTAGGAAAGGTGGTTAAAAGTCCATTTAGAGAACTTTGTGAATGTTGCCTCGCTGTGGCCAGCAACGAGGCGAGGCGTTTGGAGACTTAGTTTGCCGAAGTGAATACAAGGATAAGTAAAAGTCTGAGGCGATCAAGTCATGACAACTTGTCGAAGTGATAATAACTTGCCGAAGTGATCAACGAATTAAAAATCCAAGGCAAACATGAAAAAAGTAGCCGATTTAAAAAGAATGAGAAACTAGCCGAAGCGACAATGAACGAATTAAAATTCCGCAATGAACATGAAATAAGTAGCTGATTTAAAACAAACAGAAAATTGGCCGAAGTGGCAATGTTCCTAGAGACGGCAGATGAGCTAAAATTGTAGAGTTAAATAAATGTATGTGTATACGTACCCACTCCCCCCCCCCTTTTTAGGAGAGGGGACAGCTGAACCCGTCCGAGGACGGGCTGCCTACGTACCCTTTGCAGGGATCAAGCCGTCGCGTAGTTCATGTTGACCGTGTTGTAGCCTTAGTGATAATACTTCTTCAGGTGCATTGCATTCCACGATCTTGGAATTGATTCGTCAGCTACCGTCGCAAGTTCGTAGACTCCTGGGCGAACTATTTTTGTAATCTTGTAAGGACCTTCCCAATTTGCTCCGAGCTTTCCTGCATTCTTCTCGGCAGTGTTTTTGGAAAACTTTTCGAAGGACGAGCTCTCCTTCTTTAAATCTTCGACTGCGGACATTTTTGTTGTAATATCTCGCCGTTGCTTGTTGGTAGTTCTGAATTCTGATTAGAGCCTGGTCGCGCCTTTCGTTGACCAAATCGAGTTCGTCCAGCATCATTAAGTGATTCAACCCTTCTTGTCCCGGCAGAAGTCTTCGTCGGATACCAGGGAAATCCACCTCGGGGGGGATTACGCATTCCGCTCCATAGACTAGAGCGAATGGAGTTTCTCCGGTGGCTCGGCGCGGAGTTGTCCGATGCGACCAAAGGACTCCTTCGAGCTCATCTGCCCATCGTCCTTTCTTGGCGTCGAGCCTCTTTTTCAGACCGTCTAGGATCGTCTTGTTGGCTGCTTCAGCTTGTCCAGTCCCTTGAGGATATCTTGGCGTAGATTTGCTCAAACGGATTTTCCATTTCTCGCAGAAAGCTTCAAAACGCGTTGAGATGAACTGGGATCCGTTATCGGTGACTATGTCATAGGGAACCCCGTGTCTGCAGATGATATTTTTCCAGACGAAGTGTTCGACTTGAGCATCCTTTATGCTCGCGTAAGAATCGGCCTCGACCCACTTAGAAAAATAATCCGTGAGGACGAGCAGAAAGCGCTTCTTCTTCGATCGATTTAGAGGTCCGACTATATCCATCGACCATCTCATGAAAGGATAAGGTGACGAGATCGATGACAGCAGCTCGGTAGGTTGGTGAATTGTTGGCGCGTGCCGTTGACACTTCTCGAACTTCGCCGTAAACTTCTCGCAGTCCATGACCATCGTAGGCCAGAAGTAACCGTGTCGTTTTATCTTGATCGCGAGCGACCTTCCGCTAGAATGGTTTTCGCACGCGCTGCTTTTCACTTCGTGCATGATATTTCTTGCCTCCGGTCCTTCGACGCATGTCATGAGCGGTCCTGAAAATCTCCATTTAAACACTTCACCGTCGACGAGGACATATCGTGCGGCCTGAGCCTTTAATTTGCGGGCTTCCCACTTGTTGGTTAGTACTTCTCCATCGGCGATATACACTCGGAAGGCTCCGAGCCATTCTTTTTCACAGCCATACTCCAGCTCGGCTGGTGAGGCATCTTCATCCATAGCGATTGCTTCGTCGTTCTCTGGTTCCTGCTCGGGAGGATTTATCAGCCGAACTCCTTCTACCTCTTCGATGCTAAGACGTTCGAAGAATTCGACTGGAATTTTCCGTCGGAGATCCGGGTCTGAAGTCGAAGCAAGTGCTACCAAGGCGTCAGCCGAGGTGTTTTTGCCTCGGGGTATTCGTGTGAGCTCGAACTCGTCGAACTTTTGCACCAATTCTCTGACCACCTTGAGGTAAGCTCCCATTCGTCCGTCTTTCGCCTCGTATTGTGAATCGCAAAAGGTTCTTATCTTTCGAACTCCGATTCCCTGTGCTAGTCGTATGCCGGCGATCAGCGCTTTGTATTCTGCTTCGTTGTTCGAGGCGTGGAAGTTCAGGCGAAAAGACTGCTCCAATATTTCTCCGGTGGGAGAGGTGAGACGGATTCCTATTCCCGAGCCGTGTTTAGACGACGAGCCGTCGACGTGCAGCATCCATACTTCGTCTGGGGTTTGCTCGTTCGTCGTTTCGGCCAGAAGTTCGATAAGAAAATCTGCGAGCACCTGTGATTTTGCAGACGACCTTTTCCGATACTCGATGTCGTACTCCCTCAACTCTATGGCCCACTTGGCGAGCCGGCCGGATTGGCTCAGGCTGTGTAGGATCGAGCGCAGCGAAAGTGTAGCGAGCACAACAATCGAGTGATTAAAAATACGGACGCAGCTTGCGAGCCGAGACTACGACGGCTAGGGCGACTTTCTCAATCTGGGGGTAGCGGGTCTCGGCGTCGGTCAGTGTCTGGCTGACGTAGAAAATGGGTTTTCGCTCGGCTCGTTCTTTTCTTATAAGCACCCCACTCACAGCTGTAGCAGATACGGCAATGTAGAGGAAGAGAGGCTCTCCTTCAACTGGTTTCGCCAAGATCGGCGGGCTTGCTAGATAACTCTTCAATTCATGGAAAGCTGCTTCGCATCGCTCGTCCCACTCGAATTTCTTATTTCCCCGGAGGGTGTCATAGAAAGGCAGTCACTTGTCGGTGGAACGGGAAATGAACCTGTTTAGCGCAGCGACCCTTCCCGTGAGCCTTTGCACTTCTCGCTTCGTCCTTGGAGAGGGCATCTTGATTAATGCCTTGATCTGTTTAGGATTCGCTTCAATGCCTCGGTGAGTTACCAGATAGCCGAGAAACTCTCCCGAGGTGACCACAAATCTGCACTTCGCCGGGTTCAGTTTGATGTTGTGTTTGTTCAACTGCTCGAAACATTCTCGTAGGTGCGCGATATGATCTTTCTCTTCGAGTGATTTGACTAACATATCATCGATGTATACCTCCATGGTTTTTCCGAGCTGATCCGCGAATATTTTATTGCCGAGTCGTTGATATGTTGCCCCTGCGTTCTTGAGTCCGAACGGCATGACTTTGTAGCAGTATATCTCACGATCAGTTATAAATGCTGTTTTTTCCCGATCAACAGGATGCATCAGGATTTGGTTGTAGCCGTAGAACGCGTCCATAAATGTTAACAGCCTATTTCCCGCAGTGGCTTCGACGAGCCGATCGATGTGCGGCAGGGGGAAACTGTCTTTCGGGCACGCCTTGTTGAGGTCAGTGAAATCTACACAGACCCGCCACTTGCCGTTCTTCTTCTTCACAACCACTGGATTCGAAAGCCAGTCTGGATATTTGGCCTCGGCGATTGATCCTACTTTGAGCAATCTCTCCACTTCGTCGTTAACTGCTTTAGCTCGTTCGGGTCCGAGCTTCCTTCTTTTTTGCTTGATTGGTTTGAAGGTTGGGTCCACGTTCAGCTCGTGACAGGTCACGTCGATGCTTATGCCCGGCATATCTTCCGCTGTCCAGGCAAAAGTGTTGATGTTCTCTTTGAGGAGGGAAAGAAGTTTGCTTCTCAGAGGCTCTTCTAGTTTTGCTCCGATTTTGACGCATCGTTCTGGACGCGCTTTGTCTATGCACACCGAGTCCACTGCATCACATACCAGCTCGGTGCGCGTTTCGCGGCTCTCCGCAATCTGTAATAGCTATAAGAGTTTCGAGAGCTCGTTCACAGGCTCTCGGTCTGTCTTCATCTTTTTGTGATCTATGTCTGCTCGTGCGTCGGTGACGAGGTTCCTCAGCTTGTGCTCCACTAAGCAGCACATTCGAGACTCCTTCTGATTTCCTTAGATTGTTTTGATGCCTGCTGGAGTCGGGAATTTGAGGCAGAGGTGATAGGTGGAAGGGACCGCCCTCATCGCGTTGATCCATGGAGTTCCCATAATCACATTGTAGATTGTTGGGTGATCGGTGACGCAGAATTTGACGATCCTATTGACTCCACAAGCTACCACGGGAGCCTAATTGTTCCCATAGTCATCGTTGTTTCTCCTGAAAATCCGGTTAGAGGTTTGGGGATCGCTGTCACCTCGGAGAGATCGATTCCCATCCTTCTGAGTGTCTCCCTGAAAATGACGTTTACCGAGCTCCCAGTATCGATGAGCACTCTCGCTACATCGTGATCTCTGATCGTTAATTTGATCACCAGTGGATCGTTATGTGGTCTATCAATTCCTGCTGTTTCCTCCTCGGCGAAGGAGATCACTGTATTCTGGATATCGGTCGGTTCTGTCCAATTTTCCTTCGCTTCGGCTTGGCGCTGATAAGCTTTGATGGAGGACACCGTGTCTTGGTAATATTGAGATCCACCCATTATCATGTTGATCCTTTGCCTCGGCTCGGGTCGCTCTTCGGGTTCGCCTCTCCTATCGCACTTGTTGTTATCGCGCCGCTCGGCTCGGCTCCTTCTTTTGGTTCATTAGGGACGAGGTCTTTGAGGTTAACCGCGTTCTGGAGCTCTCCCGCCGCCATCTTAGCTGCGAGTTTTGCTCTTAGAGTTCGGCATTGTGCCGTTGAATACCCGTAGGTCTGGTGATACTCGCAGAATGCCTTTTCGTCGTAGTTGGTGGGCTTTCTTACCCAAGTGTTGTTGTGCGACTCTCCTCTTCCGCGTCCAGTGCCTACTTGGTAGTTATGGGCACCTCCGCTTCTAGGTTCGTCTGAGCTTTGCGTTGTTGCATTGTTTGATGGGTTGCCTTTCTTCGGGGGGCGTGTCAAAATTGAGCTTCGGATCGCTGCTTTCGTTGCTTCGTACTGCTCATCCAGATTCTTCATCTCTTCCTCGTTTACGACGAATTCTGATGACCGATGCAAGGCATCTTGAATCGTTTGTGGCGTGTTGAGTGCCATTTCTCGTCGGAATTCGGAATTGTACCACAAAGACCGTTTCAGAGCCTCGAGTGCAGCCTTGTCGCTTATTCCTTCAATTTTGGATACGACCGCCTTGAACCTTGCCATGTAATCCCGAAGTGGTTCGTGTTTTTGGCCGAGAGAGCTACCCGCAGGAAGGATTTTGGCCGAGAATCTTCGGCCATCAGTACATCATTTTGCCGAGAAACCCAAAATTGCTCCTTTTCACCATTTTTGATAATTTCAACTCCATTTCTTCATCTGAATCACGTCCTCCACTCCAAATAAACTCCAAAAGCACCTGTTTAACACTCCAAAACATGCAAAACTCTCTTGGACCTAATGCAATCTCCTAACTAAAGACAAAAGCAAAGACAAATATATGTAAAACTACCTAAATGTATGCATGAGACTCAATATTTGGACAAAAATGCAATCGTAAACATGACAAAATATGAGTATATCATGCATCTAATGAACACTGACCTGTGAGAATCGAATAAGGCTGATGCGAATCGGACCGATGGATTGCCGCGGGTAGAGGACACACGACCGTGGGGGGAGTGCTATTTGTCGCGGGTAGGAGACTCATGACCACGGCTGGAGGGTTGTTGGCCGCAGTCGCGGGAGTTGCGACCGTGGGAGAGAGACTCCAAGATGGTTCAGTTGTTTCATCTTCTCTTTTGCCATCTAAACTGATTTTTGGATCTTCCAACTCTATTTCCTCTTCTTTTAGGTCAAGATCTTTGATGGGAAGCGTCAAACCATGCGTTTCACGTCCTTGCATAAGTTTTTCAACCTTCTCTTCGACTTCATCAAGGGCATAGACTACTTTGTCCATGGTCGATTCGATCTCTTCTGCTTTGTCTCGAACCTTGTGTACTTCATCCCAAATCTCTTCCACATAGGAGTAGGTTTGGTTGTTATGATCATTGATAGTTTCTTCTGCTTCATCGAGTTTGATCTCTAAGGTGTGGATGTGTGGATGTTTTCATTAACTCTGCGAATGCTGACTTCAATCTCTCCGACTCGTCCTTCAACCGTTTCAATCCTCTCCTTGATAGTCTCGGCGTCTTTGTTCGCTTGAGTCTCAATGGTTTTAACTTGAGCAGAAAGATCTTCAAGCTTTTTGTTAAAGTGAGTCGACATGTTGTCAATTTTCTCGTGAAGGGCGGCTCTTGACACGACTTGAACTGCGATGAATTGCATGATCACCATTTCAAGCTGACTCAATCGATTACTGAGCTGGACGTTCTCATCTTGCTGGAGAACCTGGTGAGGTAGGCAATACATAGGTGGTCTAGGGTTTACCATTGGAGGCACGTAGGGCTCGTTCAGGAACGTTCGGTAGTTTGAGGTTCGAACTTTGTCGTAGAGATCGCGTAGGTATTGCTCTTCTCTGCGTCTGGTGGTTTGAGGAGTGTTGTAAAAACCTCCCTCATAGTAGGGATTTCGATTTATAGGATCTATTGCTTCGAGAATGGAAAAAAAAGAACCGAAAAATGGAAATATGCAGAAAAAGGGTTCTAGAGTCGATTTACCAACCTTTCTTAGAGTTTTGCGGAAAAGAAAACATGTGCCTTCCCCGGCAACGATGCCAAAAACTTGATGTGTGCTATGGTGAGAGTGCCAACTTTTACCCTAAATGAAGTCAATAGTCGCTAGTGCACAGCTGATCGATTGTAGTACTTAGGGATCGAATCCACAGGGAAGGAGCATCTTTCCTGCAAAAGCCTTCGAAAGAAATATAAAGTAAGGAAGTCTAGAACCAGGCGATTTTTGTAAAGGTTTTGGTGGTGTCTTTAAAACGTAAAAACTAATCTTAACGAGAAAATACGAGAATTAAAAAGACCTAATAACTAAACTTAATGAAATCGACTAAAAACGAGAAAAACGGCTAAACCTAATTGCTTAAATGAAAATCGATTAAGAGAATGAAAAGGATGAACTAAAGCTTGAAATAAAATCGGTGTAAATCTATAGAAAAGAAGTGCTGGGTTTCAGGGAAGTTTTCTCTAGGGTATGAACGATTCAAAATATTGCTAAAGAGTAAATTTGATAAGATCTTAGCTTCAACTTTTTGAACTAGAGTCACTGACGTATGAATACGCCACTGTCGTGATCATAGACAACTATCTGTCTCAACCATGACCAGTAAGTTTCCACTCTGGCCCTGGAAGAGAAAATATGCATTATGTTTAAGATTCATCAGCATTCACAAATCGCCCATAGGTAGGTTTCCACTCCTATGTTTGTTTTGCCCTCCCAAACTAGATCTGACACCGGATGAACACTTTCGTGTCACCAAGCATCTGGATCAGATTGTAGTTCATGACGCTACTCTCATGCAGTAAAAATAAATTCAAAAGAAAAAGTTCTAAGATTCGGTTTCAATAGCTCATGGAATCCTCATCGAACATATGTATCCCCATCGAAAATCCCTTAGATCCAACAATAAAACTACTCAGACATGATGGACGAAATCAAAAACATAGTATTAAAAAGTAAAGCAATAGTCAAAATTGGAAAAGAAAGAACAAGGGTTCAAGAGACAAATCTTTCTCTCCCTAAAACCTAAAAAAAAAGCTTAAAGTAAAATTTCTTGTAAAGTATTTCGTCTCTCCTCTTCTCTTATTAAAAATGACCTAAATGATAAGTATTTATAGTCTCCAATGCTCTCTGGTGTCTAGGGTTCCGGAATTGAGGCTAAGAAAACGATATGGGCTTCGGAAATGGGCCATCGAACTCGGAGTTGGCTGGCCGCAGTCGGGAAGCCTCTGACCGTGGTGAAATGGCTGTTGGCCGCAGGTGGAAATGCTTGCCAGCTGGTTTACGGGACATCTTGCTCTTAGCGTATCTTTTGATTGAACCGTTGGATTGCCAAGCTGTAAAGTGTGCTAGAAAGCTAATACTTCCATCTTTGAGATCTCCAAATTTGAGCTGGATCAGACGGTGAGAAGACCTTCAATTGGGGGTGAACTTCTGACGTTTTGACTCTGAGCTGAAAATCTGGTCTTCTATCCATTTTGTTAAGCTTTTCCACTGATGGAGGTTCTCGGGACCACTGATGACATGTGTAGAAGGAGCCAAGGCGAGGAAAATTATGCACGAAGTACACAGCAGTGCATGTGGCAATCACTTCGGAAGAAGGTCCCTTGCGATCAAAATAAAACGGCACGACTACTACTGGCCAACGATGGTAAAAGATTGCGATAAATTCACTATGAAGTGCAAAAAATATCAGTGACACGCGCCGACAATACACCAACCAACTGAGCTGTTGTCGTCAATCTGATCACCTCACCCCTTCTTGAGATGGTCAATGGATATCGTCAGACCCCTTCACAGATCGAAGCAGAAACGATTCCTGCTGGTGCTTAGTGATTACATCTCTAAGTGGGTGCAAGCATAAAGAACGCCCAAGTCGAACACTTCGTTTGGAAGAACATCATCTACCAGCACAGGATTCCATATGAAATAATCATTGACAACAGGTCAAAACTTTCTGCGAGAAATGGAAAATTTGCCTAAATAAGTCCACGCCAAAGTATCCTCAAGGGAACGGACAGGCCGAAGCAGCCAACAAGACAATCTTTGACGGATTGATAAAATGCCTCGATGCTAAGAACGGACGATGAGAAGACGAGCTAGAAGAATTACTTTGTTCGCACCGAACAACTCTGCGCCGAACCACTGGAAAAATGCCATTCACCCTAGTTTATGGAACTGAGTGAGTAATTCCTCCTGAGGTGGATTTCCCTGAAATAAGATGGAGACTCTTGCCCGGACAGGAAGGCTTGAAACATTTTATGATGTTGGACGTGCTCGAGTTAATCAACGAGAAGTGCGACCAAGTCTTGATTCGGATTCAGAATTATCAGCAAGCAACGGCAAGATACTACAACAAGAACGTTCGAAGCTGAAGATTCTAGGAAGGAGAGCTTATTCTAAGGAAAGTATTCCAGAACACTGCCGAAAAGAATGCAGGAAACCTCAGAGCGAATTGGGAAGAACATTACAAAATTACTTAGTAAGAAGCAATCCCAAGATCTTGGAACGCCATTCACTTAAAGAAGGACTATCACTAATAACGCACCTCGAACAACACGAACTATGGGACGGTTTGATCCCTGCAAAGAGTACGTTGGCAGCCCATCGTCGGATGGGTTCAAGTTCATCTCCTAAAAAGGGGGGGGGGAGGGGGAATAGGTACATATACATTATACTTACACATTTTCATTGGAATTTCGGCTCATTGACCTAGCCGTTACTAGCTTGATCTTTGCTTCAGCTAACTTTTTGCTTATTTCAGGGTTCTTTATTATCTTGTGCTTCAGCAAAATTATTCACTACTTCTGCTATGGCAAAACCGCGTTACTATCTCGCTTCAGCATCAAAACATTCACAGACTATACACCTCGTCTCGTTGCTGGCCACAGCGGGACAACATCCACAAAGTTTTCT